TAGGAGAGGTTCAGAGTTATGTTCAGCAGCACCTGGTGTATCTTGTAAAAAACAATCAGTCAACGTGGCAGACCCCATCCGAAGCACTTAATGTCCCTTCAGCTTATCTGGGGTACCTACAGACCAATGCAGAGCACCTCCTCCTCTTTGAACCATTCAAACCTACAGAAATGGTATGGATTTTGTGAATTTTAATACCTCAGATATCCCCTCAAGTTCTCCATGCCTCAGTACAAGGAATACAAGGAAGCTGAAGCTATTTGGTGAACTAGAAAAAGAAGTATTAATAAATTAGGAAATATACTACGGAACAATAATGCCATAGAAGTAGGGATCACAGGCTGCTTCAAAAAATTCACAGGTTCACAGAAAAATTCACAGAATTAAGAATGGTAGGTACAGGTTTTTCATTTCATTGCATCACCAGATTAGAAACCCTTTCTTACTTTGTGTTTTGTCTATATTCTCTATGAATTGTTTCTGATAAAGTAATTCCCTTTATCATTCTCAGTTTAGAACAAACAAGAAAAATAAGTGCAAGCAAGTATGGCAAGCCTCCACAACAAAAGATGAAGTGGAAATTGCCAGTCAAAGGGGTTGAAGAACTATCCAGCAAGATTCTCAGGGATCTGAGTGAGGTTGGGTAGGTACTACTAGCAGCCAAAGGGAACAAAAGAAAAAGGAAACATGTAAAAAATCTAATGAATAAGCAACTTAGAGCTTTCAGAAGCAAATTTAAGTTTTATTTCTGCAGATAAAACAGTAGAAGAAACAGTGCTCGATTTCTTATCAACCTCCTATTGTACTAAGCTTCTGAAATTTTTGATAGCCATTAGGGTCTTTTAATTAATAGGTTAAGATTATTTTTTTTTTCTCAGTAAGACTATAGAGGCTTAAGGCAGGAGAGCTATTGGATACTTGTGTGAGTGCACAGGCATTTTAAGTTCAGGTAGCAAAGGAAGGAAGGGACGCTAAGCACCTTTTCTGATGAAATCACTTCCACTCTGGGAAATGGATCTGGGAAATAGAAGGGGATAAGCTCTGCTTACTGCAGTAGCTCTATGAATTTAAACCAAACTTTTGAGAGCCCAAGTTCCTTATTTTTGGAGTTCCCAATCTGAGAAATGAAAGATGATTTGCAAAATTAACAAATACCAAGAACTGCAGCTGAGAGTGACTGAAGCTTTGAACATATCAAATATATATAAAGCTAAACACACTGAAAAATCTGCATCCAAATGCTGGGAATGCACCCAGAGGGAAGAGAGCTGGTGACTTTGCCTTGGTGTGCCCTTGTTTTGGATGTTTCTAAGTGACCATTGCACAGTCTAAGCAGGAAAATTATACTGAAGTAAACTCAATAATTTCAAAGCCTTTCTTTTCCTGGGTGACTGCACTAGAGATTCTTACAGCATGAGTTAAATAAGGCCTTAAAGCCACACAGGCTTAATAAAAAAAAGCATTTAATAAATTATGTAACATTTCCTTGGGTTTTCCCTAACTGAAAGGAATACAGCTGCTACTGCACTTCTTAGAATCAAAACCAGTTACTATGCAATATGGGAATTTCTACTCCTTTCTTCACATACTCAAAAATTATTTTTCACCTTTTTGGGCATAGCTAAAGGAAAGATCAATATTTTTTTTTTAAATCCCCATTTATATTTAGGGCCCAAACTTCCTCATCTGACATATTTTTCTGTTACCCATTTCTTACTGATGGCAGAACTTGATCTCTACTGAGAGTGTATTGTTATATATAAAAGAAATTGTCCTGATCCCTCAAGTAAATCCTGTGGCTTCTCCCCTGTTAATACTGAGCTGCCAATTTCAGCAATTCATGTATGTACAGCCAAAAACATCTATAGCAATTGGTTCTGGACCAAAGCAGGAAATCATCTTTGACAAATTAATTAGAAAGTGATGCTATTAAAAATTTATCTATTTAGTACCTTCTCTGATTTGCCTTATCACACCCAAATGCAAACACTTTATTAAAGCACCAACAAACCTTCTAAGTGTATCTCTGATACACTTAAGTGTGAGGTACGAGTTTTTCCTGGATTAACATTTTCCAGCATTCAGAGGAATAGAATACTCTGCTGTAAACCCCAGTGAAAGGCCTAAACCAGAGCAAAACCAATCAAGTTATTCACAATATGCTTCTGTTATTCACAATATCCTTAGGCAGTTTACAGGGGAAGTCTCTGGTAAGCCTCTGCAAGATTCTAGGGAGTGTTCCAAAGAGAAAGGGAAATCAGCTGACTTCTTGGTAATTGTATAAATAAAACTCTAATTATTTTTGAATCAGAGAAAGGGAGAGATTTTTCGGTTATTCATATCAAGCCTCTGATAGTCTTCTACAATAGGAATGTCACTATTTATTGTGGGGAGGGAATTCCCTGTAACGTAATGGCAAGGACACAGCAGCATGCAATGTATTTTGGAACTATTTTATGCAATATACTTCAGCAATTAAGTGAAATCTTAACATATTTCATAGATGGTCTAGGTTTTCCTGTGTAAAAACCTGAAAACCAAACCACAATTCATAAATTCCTTGTAATGATCTCTTCATCTGGGGCTGCTGAAGCAGTATTTGAGGACTTACATCATCTTTAGGGTGCTGCTAATCTTTCCAATGTTTAAACAATTTGTAGTTAATCTACAACTCAGAAAAAGTGTTGAAAATAGGATAGTTTGTTCTGTAAAATCCTAAAAAACACAGGAAGCTTCTAATAAGGTTTCACTTGGATGCATTAATTTTAAAACAAGGAAGAATTTTTTTCTAGCAAACCCCTAAGAAAGAAATTCATTTGATCAATGATTCCTCTAGAGACCAAGGATTCTTTCTAGCTCCCAATTTGCTCTAAAAGAAAATTATGAGCCATACAATACCTTGAATAATCACACAGCATAATTTCATACAGCTTCTTAGAGAATTTAATTTGCATGGTACAGTGACAGTTTCCTGTGGGATTATCTAGTAGAGTTTGTTAGGAAAACAGATAATCCTACAGTGAGCCAGTGGAGATAGGCACTGGAAGGAGGGAAAACTAAGGAAACATTTATCTGTTTTAAAATCAAAACACAAAACACAGTAGGTTTTGCTACTTTTCCAGTTATTTCATCACTCATTAAATCAGTTAGCAGCAGCAGTGGAGTAATTCAGACACCTAATGCTGTGACAGGCTAATTGTCCCCTCTCCCACAGAGGTGCTGTTTTACATAGTAAGGGACACAGGACACAGTTATTTTCTGGTGCCTTAGAATGAAAATGCAATGGCTTGGGCAATACAGAATACATCACAGAATTACTAAATTCAAACCATCAGGTTTGCTGGCAGAACTGCCCTGAGAGGTGCAAGAGGAGCTGCTGCAGGAGCTGAGGTGAATGGTCTGGAGGCAGGAGGATGCGAGACCTCCTGGCACTGCTGAGGCTTCTGCCAGTGAGTTCTGGGAGCTGCTTCTGAGTCAGAAGCCAGCTCTGTCTGTTACTGTTAATTCATGGCTTGGAAGCAGAAGTGCACGTTGATACAGGAAATGAAGTCAAGATCAGCCTCAGAATGCACAGAATTATTTAATAATTGTATCACACGAGAGCTCTCTTTGAGAGCTCTCTTTTTATATCTCCTTGGAGAGTGAAAGCCCACTTCAGTATTTTAATATTGTAGGCTATCATGGGCCATCCCATCAAATTACAGATGCCTATTCAGTTCTTAAGTGGCAGTCTACTGTACTTAGTAGCACACTGTACAAGTTGTTTTAACACTACCAAGGCAAAAATATGACAATCAAAATATTAACATCATTAGTCACACCTTTCCTGCCTTACAATTATAATCCTACTAAGAACAGTTTATCTATTTTTCTTATCTATTAAGTATTGCTTTGTTCCAGTAAATCTTGTGCAAAGCTGCTTTCCAGTTGATATTTTTGAAAAGTTCACCTCAGTAGCATCTGTACTTACTCAACAATCTGGTTTAGTTAGATGTTTTAGAAAAGGCTAGAAAGTTATTATTTTGCAGGTTTATTTAATGCTAGTAGCTAGTCAGATCTACAAGTGGCTGTGATTAATCAGATCTTCCTTGACCCTCCACTTCATACTAAGCTGTCCAGACTATTTTCCCCCATTACTGCAAAACCCTTACCCCTATCCTGGAGTTTGGTCGTCTTGTTTCACTTCTTTACCTTTGCTGCATAATCCACGTGCATTTTAAATGAAGGCACGAAAAATATTTATCATGGAATCATAGAATATCCTGAGTTAGAAGGGACCCATAAGGATCACTGAGCCCAGCACTTGGCCCTGACAGGACAGCCCAAGGTCACACCCTGAGAGTTTTGTCCAAACACTTCTTGAGCTCTGTCAGGTTTGGTGCTGTGCCACTGCCCTGGGGAGCCTGTTCAGTGCCCAGCCACCTCTGGAGGAAGAACATTTCCTAATATCCAAACTAAATCTCATGGCCCTGACGCAACTCCAGGCCATTCGCCCGGGTCCTGTCACTGATCACCACAGAGAAGAGATCAGTGTCTGCCCGTCTACTTCCCCTTGTGAGGACGCTGAAGAGCACACTGCGATGTCCCCTCAGCCTCCCCCGGGCTGACCGAGCCGAGTGACCGCACTGCACCAGCGGCACACGCACGGTGTGGTGGAGCTACCCCTGCCCCCGGAGCTGGCCCCCACACAGGCACAGGGCCGCTGGGAGCGGGGACAGCACTGCCCGCCTGGGGGTGTGCGCCAAGCGTGACACGCAGGTGTGCTCTCATATTTGTACACCCACGTTCACCTTTCCCTCCACTCCTTCTTCCTTCCAGGGTTTGTATTCAGCATGAGACCCCAGCGGCCCTGACCCGGCCGGTGCGTGTGGCGAGCCCGCGGGGCGGACAGCTGACGGCGCTGAGGGCCGGGGGCTGCCGGCCGGGGCTCCCGGGGCCCTCAGGCTGCCAAAGCCCGCCCGGCCGCTCTGGCCCCGGCCCGCGGCGGGAGCCGGCCACAGGCACCCCCGCTGCAGGGCCGCAGGAAGGAGCGGGGACCCCGGGGGTCTCCCGGGCGGTGCCCGGTGAGGCGCAGCCGCCGCGGGCTGTGGCGAGGGGCAGCCCCGCTCCCGCCGCGCAGGGCCGGAGCCCGGCCCCTTTTCCCGGGGCCAGCTGCGGGCCCGGAGCCGCCGCCGGGATGAAGCAGCTGGGGGCGGCGGCCGGGACGCGGCTCCCCCGGGCCCTGCGCGCTGACGGGCTCCCGCCGCAGGCGCTGGTGGACGACACCGAGGATGTGTCCCTGGATTTCGGGAGCGAGGAGGAGCTGGCGCTGCGGAAAGCGCGGATCAGGTAACGGCGCGGAGGCCGCGGCGCCCGGGCCCGGGCGGCCTTGGCCGTCCGGTGTACAGAAAACTCCATTTAAACACTTCATTCCCATTTTTTACAGGGACGGTGGTCAAGGGCTGGAACAGGCTGCCCGGGGAGGCTGGGGGCCTCTGTCCGGGAGATGCCCGGGCTGGAGCAGGCGAGGCCGGGCCCCGTTGCCCGGCATCACCCGGTGACTGGAAATGAAAACCTGACACACCCAACATCCCAAACCCCAAGCTAACAGTGCTTTAGTTAGAGCTGGAGCAGCGGACACGACTCGCAGCTCCAGCAAAGCCCGCTGTGCAGCGGTGCTCAGGCACTGCAGCGGACGCCTGGCTGAACCGCCAGAGAGCTGCAGTAAAGATGTCATGATTTCCTACCACGGGATGTGATGCTGTGTGGAATATAAAATATCTTATGCTTGTAGACATTACCTGGGAAAACCCAGCCCTTTAACCCATCTCATGTGGCAAGCTAAGCTTGGGTTCCTCACCAGAGGTGTCACTCTGTAGCTCTGGCCACACAGAGGTCCCGGGTGACAGAGCTGTTCAGTCAGTGGCTTTTGAAGAATCTCCAATCAAAGATTGTGAAAGGAAGAATTTTATGTCAAAAGGAATTGGGCATGCCCTGATCAATAATTTATATAATCAGCTTTGATTTAGATTGCTTTCTCTGCTTTGCCCCAGTTTGGTCTGGTCCATTTCAATGTTCATATTTCTTGTAGGTGTAAACAAAGAAATATAATAGATGTTCACCTGACACAACATTATCTGAGATAAAAAGCAATAATGTAGCTTTACAATATAATTACTCTTTTACAAGTGTCTGGTGAAGCATTGCTTTGGACTTTGTCACTACTTGAGTCAGCCTTGACATAAGATTAACCTTCCCAGAATTGCCTTGGTTTTACACCTTAGCAACAGCACACATTTTAAATGAAGGTTTATATTTTGGTGCAGTCTTGGAGAACATAGCCTCAAGGATTCAACTAAGCTGGGAAATACAGCTTAGAAATACCTTGATCACATAAGCCACAGGTTCTGAGGGACCAGACTACATTTAGCATGAAGTGAAACCACCCTGGAATGTTTTAGGAGGTCACAGCACGCAGCACTTTACTCTAGAGATCTTAGAGATTCCTCCTGATTCATGCTGCTCCCTAATACAGCACAGGTAAAGTATCAGCAAACTGTACTATTCTGTGATCCACTTGGTGTAGACAGTGGCTTCATTAGAGACAGCTCTTCGTTCTGGCTCTCAAGACAATATTAAAAGATGATGCAGGATTGAAAATTCATCTGCCATAGAATGCAGAAATGAAACTGCTTACACTGCTCACACGTTTGTTTTTGTATTTCTGAAGAATCTTGTGCAAATGAGCCTGGAAGTCATCTAGGTGCTGCAAAATTTTATTACCATATTAGAGGGCATAACAAGGTGTTCCAGTCATTTGTCTTTATTCCAATTTCATATATCTTGAACTTGGTTGTAATTTGCATAGAATATAACAAATTGTGCTTTCGTGATTCTCTGACAGATGTGCAAAAGGGCTCCTTAAAAGCAAAAGGTTAGTGGCTACTTTCCTAAGAAATTGGGAAAAGATAAAATACTTCCTGGAAATTGGGAAATTCTTCCTCTTTCCTAAGAAATTGGAAAAAGATTGCAGTACCAGGACTTTGGATCTGGAAGTAAGGAGCATATGATTGCTTCTTTTACAAATCAGCCAGGAAACACAGTGATCAAGGAGAAAAGAGATCTCATTTATTCAAAATTTGCCTCAATACATTTTGAAGTATTGACAGAAAATAAAAAAAAAAGGGCAGCATGTAGAGTGCTGCTGTGGCACTTCTGAGCAGGCACCTGGAATGATTCTCCTGTAGTTCAGTGGCACAGCTTAGGCCTGACCCAAATTTGATTCTTTAACATGGGATGCAACTAAATTGCTTACAACTCATTCCTGTCCTAACAGGCATCATGCTCCCAAACTGAACAGAGATTATTTTAACAAGGTACTGAGCCTTGAGGCTCCAGCTGTACATCACATGGATGTTTACATGCAACAGCAAGTGGGTTGCTGTCCTTTCATGAGCAAATTTATGCCAAGTTGAGCCATTGTAGAGTTGCAGTTTCCTTTATCCTTTCCAGAGTCTCAGTAAGTGCTCAGCACTGTAATAAATGACAGCTTCTTGCTCATGTGTCTTTTTTTTGGTTGGTTGGTTGGGTTTTTTTGGGTTTGTTTTTGTTTTTGGGTTTTTTATTTTAGTAAAAATTCAGCATCCAAACAATAATCTTGTTGTAATCCAGTAATACTGCTGAATCTGCCTTCCAAAATGGAACATGAATTCTCCAAAGTTACTGCCACATTTGAAGCTCTGATCCGTTAGAAAAGCTCAGGCAACCCTGCTGTGCTTTGGGGTTGTGATCTATGAAAGCTGCTCTGGACACAAGGGCACCACTTCCATAGTTGACAGAGTTGCATTTTCTTGACTGAGCAAGGCCCTTTCTGTTTTAGCCAGTTCACAATATCCACTCCACCCACCTGGCTGCTTATGGCAGAAAAAGCCCCTTTGCTTAAAATGTCACATGTTCAGTTCTAAGTCACAAGAAGTTTTTGGAAAGTTTGAAGTTCACATGGGCGTGATGAGGAGTAAATATAAACTTCACCTGTGCATCATCATCCTTTCCTCCCCAGTCATATGTGTAGTACTACCAACACAGTATTACCACTGGAGAAAGATAAACACCAGAACAGTTAAACAGCTTAGAGTAATAATGTAACAACAGTGATATTGAAATTATAAAAGTTATTATACTTATATAACTATAATTGAAGTTTATAGTAAGCAGTTGTGTATATATTATATGTCTCATTTTATTAAACACAATAACAGAATAACATTTAATAGTTAAATAGTTGATTACGCCCTAGGCCATACTTTTGTTAATTGGCTATTCTACTGTTAATTGGTCACAGAGGCATAGGAGTTTAAGGAGGCAATTGTTGACTTAAATATCTTATTCAGATATTTTACTCTCTAAGCTTCGAGGAAGAAGTTACTTAACTGCAAGAGCCTGTAGTTAATTCTCACTTTCAACTAATTAACACAAACAATTGCACAGAGTAAAATTTTTACATGGCATATTACCCTGAAAATTGTACTGTGCTCATTACAGCATTCTCCAGCCCCCCCACTGTACTGTGCAGGCCAGTATTCCATGTCACATACTTATTTCTTTCACTGAAATTTCTCTTTGTTACAGACAAAAACTTGTTCAATGAGCAAAGCGTAAATACTAGTGAAATTAATAAGCAGTAATTCAGAAGAACTGTTAGATTCCCAAATCAGTCTGCCTGTCTAAAAGGAAGTGTTTGGTTTAGACATTAACCATGAAAGTTCATTTTGTCTTACTGCAAACAGCTACAATTTTTTTTAGAGATCATATTTTGTTTTCAAAGCTGTTCTGAAAGGCATAAGAGCTCTCTCAATTCTTTTGTGCTTTGCAATGTTGATTCATTTCATGAAACAACAAGGATTTTATGGTGCTGTGTTGCACACAGCCACTAAATTCCTTCACACAGAATCAAAGAATCTGGTGAAAGGCTCCATATTTTGTTCTGTCTTTGAGAATCTTTTGACAGGAACACCACATTTGTCTTTTAGATTTAGACTGAAGCTTGGTTATTGAAAATGTCATTGTTTGATAATGAAGTTATATACCAACACTGAAATAATAGCAGCTGCAAACCAAAATAGCATTATAAACTTGAAATCCTGTGCTGTGCAAGGACTGTAACATTCCCTGCTGTCCCATAACCTCATACATGCTCTGTGTTTTTCTAGGCACCCACTGGCCACCTTTTTCCACCTGTTTTTCCGAGTGAGTGCTATTGTTACCTACTTGTTCTGTGACTGGTTCAGCAACAGCTTTGTTGCCTGTTTTGTCACTATTCTCCTCCTTCTATCCTTTGACTTTTGGTCTGTCAAGGTAAGATGACCCTGAGTAGTAATTTCCTTGGGAAGTATTTTGTCATTAATTAAAAACAAAAAAATTGAAATATGTATAATGAAAGAAGTGACAAAAATATTGCAATCTGTTGATTTATTAAATGTCTAGCCCATTTTAATGAAGATGTTCACACATGTTAGTTATTTAGCACCATGTTTTCTCTGGCTGACTACTAAGGTCTACTAATATGTGAGAAAATTGCTTTGCCATAGGTAGATTTGTTTGTATGCTTCCCCCCTTAAAAAATAAATTTAAAAATCAAAGTAATACTGGCTTTTAGCAATGGATGCCCAAGGGTGTTAGGATCTGCAACCTTGTGCCCAGACCCCACAGCAGGGGCTGCAGGAGATTCCTGAAAACCCAGCTATAGCTCTGGTACCCTAATCCCATGCAGGCAGGTGGGTCAGGCCAGCCCAGGATCCAGGGGTTCCATATGTTGAGCAAGGCCTTTGTTTTGTAGAAGTGAAGCATTGATACACCTCCAGTATTCTGAAAGCTTCTGGTTCATCCAGGTGCAGAAATAATTTCTTGGTTTGTTTCCCTGATCCTACACAGCTGACTTGCTTGTCATTAATCTCCCATTTTCCAGTGTGTTTCTGTTCTCAGTATTCCTCTTTTACTGAGGAGCTTTGTGTATTGGGAACTTGTCTAACTAACTGACTTGAAAAAGATAAAACCTATAATTTCTTGTGTAAGTGCTATTGTGCTTATTATCACATTGAAAGAGAAGAGGCCTCTAAATTTTTAACTTCACCCATCATTAATGGCTGTTGTACTCAAGCTGGAACAGCTTTTAGAAGTAATTTTTATATTAGATAAAAGATGATTTTTGAACATGCTTGTCTTTTTAATTTTTTCTATTTTTAACTGTTATACTGACAAGTGACTTGTGCTACTGATTAATGCAAATAATGGTTTCATCACTAGAATGTGACAGGAAGACTCTTGGTTGGTTTGCGTTGGTGGAACCAGATTGATGAAGATGGAAAAAGTCACTGGGTGTTTGAAGCAAAAAGGGTAAATATATTAATAGAAGCAGGCACAAGGCAAACAGAATCCATAGGAAATTTGTAAAGCTGATACCAAGTCAAACAAAGTAACAAGTAGAGCACCTTTGTAACAGTTACTTTTTAATCCAGCTTCCATAGAAAACAATGTCAGTATTCAGGTGCAAACACTGTTTGTCACATCCTGGAAGTATTCAGGGCAAAACAGGTCTCACAACATTGTCAGCATATGGATCAGCAGAATAAATATTCATAGCATGGTGCTATAGGTATGAAATGTTTCTGGTAGTTCTATTTTATTTTCTAGTGAGACTATCTTGTAATAAACACATCTTTGCATAGATAATCCCAACACAGAATCCTTTGCAGGAAAGATCTAAGTGGAAAGCAATGCTGAATAGTTCAGATTCAGTGTTTTGAAGTTAATATTTTATTCACCTTCATGGATTATGGTGGGAAAGAGAACCTGGATCACAGCATTCTGATACTGCCAGTGCCCCCCCAAACACACTGAAGTGGGGAAAGAAGCACAATAGAATGGCATTTGGCATGACTGCCAGAGTCAAGACTCAGGGTTTTGCTTTCACTTGCTGACATTCTCTCTGCAGCCCCACTGAGCCTGGCAGAGCACCCAGCTGCTGCTCACCGGGACATTCTCTGGAGCCCTGCAGCAGTGTCCCCAGCCCGGCCGGCTGTGCTGCTGCTGTCCCGGTGTGCAGGACCGCAGTGCCCTGTGCAGTGCCCACTGCAGTGCCCTGTGCAGTGCCCTGTGCAGTGCCCTGTGCAGTGCCTCCTGCAGTGCCCTGTGCAGTGCCCTGTGTGCCCTCTGCAGTGCCCTCTGCAGTGCCTCCTGCAGTGCCCTGTGCAGTACCCTCTGCAGTGCCCTCTGCAGTGCCCACTGCAGTGCCCTCTGCAGTGCCCTGTGCAGTGGCCACTGCAGTGCCCTCTGCAGTGCCTCCTGCAGTGCCTCCTGCAGTGCCCACTGCAGTGCCCTCTGCAGTGCCCTCTGCAGTGCCTCCTGCAGTGCCTCCTGCAGTGCCCTCTGCAGTGCCCTCTGCAGTGCCCACTGCAGTGCCCTCTGCAGTGCCCTGTGCAGTGCCCTCTGCAGTGCCTCCTGCAGTGCCCTCTGCAGTGCCCTCTGCCATGCCCTCTGCAGCCTCGGCTGCGGCTCCAGGGTGCCCCGAGCACTGATCACAAATTACTGTGCTTCCTGTGAGTCTGAGGGAGGCCCGAAGGCAGAATAGAGGAAACCCTGCAGGACAGAATACATGGAAAATTCAATATACTGAAAATTAACTAAAAAGCTTTTCAGAGTGGAAGAGTGCAGAGGGTTTTCTTTTCCACTTGTGACGCTTCTGTTTCAGAAGTTGGCACTAGTGGTCATCGATTGGTCTGAGGGTTGGAGTGACATTTTGAATTTTGGAAAGATCAGAGCCTTCTGAACAATTCTATTTAGGGTTTTTTTTTGTTTTGTTTTGTTTTTTCTTAAGTGTGATGAGTGATGAGCCCTTCAGTGAAGCTAAGAGACATGTTGTGCTGACCTGAAGAAACCTGTAAGCAGGGCTTTGCAGCTTGCTCTGGAGTTTCTGCTCTCCCTGAAGAACAGACAGCACACGGGGCATAAGGCAGTTACAGTGTGCCCAACTCCAGCATGACACAAGAGGCGTTTTCAAAACCATGGTTCTTAATTCATGGAATGTCAGCAGAGTTCAGAAGCAAAACCAAGTATTTATATGATAGGAATACATAATAGTTTATATAATAGGAAAATAAGCTTCATGCAAGATATAAATGAAGCTAAGATACAGCGTCTTTTTATGAAAATGTATAAAAATGTGCACTTCTAGAAGAATTCCAGTCTGAACTAGAACCAACTGATAAATCCTATGGATGAAAATGCTGTTGTGTAAATTAGGGCATCAGGAAGGAAACTGGGCATGAGCTACTTTTCTTAGTTAATCTTCTTCTATGCATATGATAAGTGAAATCTTCCTCTGTTAATTTGTCATTTATTGTGGGTTCTGACTTTGTGACTAACGGTCCCAATTTTTTCTTCCAGGTGCCTACAATAGCTGCCTCAACTGAAGCTGAAGCCCGAATCTTCTGGCTTGGTCTCATCATCTGCCCAGTGATTTGGACAATGTTTTTCTTCAGCACCTTGTTCTCCTTGAAGCTGAAGTGGCTGGTGAGTCAGGGGATACTGAAAACAATCTTGGTAGAGGGAAAACCCAGATCTGTTAGTTTTGAACCAAAACTTTCAACAACAGAAAAATTTCACCAGCAGCTTCAAAGAATCCTGAGGAGTTTTCTGCAGTCAATGCTTGCACTATGGAATGGATTGGTAATTTTAGCTGCACTTCCACTGATTATCAGATGTCAACTCCTTCCTCTAGAGGACCCCAAGTGGTGAGCAAAACTATGAGCTTCTGTTTAACTGTAGCAACTTACTCTGCCCCAACTTATTTCAGTCAAATAAAACTAACAGGAGAGGACGAAAAATGAACCAGTGGTGTTGGTTTTCAGGTTTTTAGGTCTCCTGGGAATGGAAATGTACTTTTAAAAGTAAGGAATGTAGATCTCTGGTACCATTCCCTTTTAAAAGAATCAGCATCATTAGCTCATAAAACCTTGATAAACTGAGCTATAAGTAAGTATTTTATAATTGCTCTACGTGTAAGTCATCTACTTAAAAAAAAACAATATGAGAGGAAACTTACCCCATATATTGCATTATATTAAGATATTTTTGTCTATGAAATCTTCACATTTTCCCCTGTAAACATTAAATGCTTGACTAATTACCACGCTATTCATTCTGTCAAGTTCCCAGCCATGCTCAGTACCATCTCTTCATTCAGTTTGAAAAGATAAAAAGCACCTCTGACATGTACAGCTACATAACCAGTAACAGCCAAGATTGCATATTCATTATTCAATTAAACAAGAAATTCAGCTATCGGCATGAATCAATTGCAAATCATTAACTGATTTCTGGTGCCCCTAAACAAGCAATAGTTAAAATTAAACCAGCACTCTTTGTTCATGGCTCCACCTTTATTTTTGAAAAGCAGAGATTGTTTGCTAAGCCAAGAGCCGCTTGGAGACAGAACTCTAACTGGCACAGAAGGCAGGTTACCCAGGTGCTTGTAAAAGGCAAATTACACGAACAAAAATAAAATCACTTCTGGGAAACTGGTTCTGAAGGCTAAGAGAAACATTTTTATAAGTTACTGCATTAGTAAGATTTGTTCCACCTGCTGCTAAACATAAAGCACCACAAAAAGAACTGATTATTTTCACTGCCTGTCAGTGCTAGATAGGGAATCTATCTATGGATGCTCTTTGTAAATCTGTAAATTACAGCTCTTACTTGTTTATAATAAATTGTCAGCTGAACAGGCCTGCAGGTGTGCCACTAATCTGAATGTAAAACTTCAGATATGAATGGGGCTTAAAAAAAGTGAAATGTTTCTGGAATTTGTTGAGTAGGTCCTTTTCTGAATAAACAGGAAAGTAATGAAGTCTTTCAAGATATAGAACGACAAAACTGGTATTGGTGTTTTGATAAAAATAAATATTTGTAGAAAGGAGCTATTGTGTTTGACACGATTGGATGTCTTTAGAGGCTATTTATCATTGGGAGTAATGTCCCCCTCTTACAGCACATGTATCTGGATAGTGTTTACACACACACACACGTGTATATCCTACACAGTCAATGCACAGCCATGGATTTGTTCCTGCTGAACTCTTGTTTGTCCACAGGCTCTCGTGATTGCTGGGATCTCCCTCCAGACTGCTAATTTATATGGCTACATCCACTGCAAGTTAGGAGGACAAAAAACCATCAGCAGAGTAACCTCAAGGTTGTTTGGCACCACAGATGTTTCCAAGAGTGAGTACTGAGCTTCAGCCCATGGGGTAGAACAGCCAACCTGCCTCTCAGGCCTAGTGCTGGCTTTTCCTGGGTCTCAGTTCCTGCAGTGAGTCCAGGATAATCCTGATTCTCCACCAAGCCTCTCTGGCAGTGTCACATGGAAGAGCCATAACCCCAGGTCACTTTGCTCCATGTTTGGAAGCCTGCTGAGCTCCACAACTGAGCTGCTTCCAAGCTCCAGAAGAACGTCCTTAAGTTAAATCCTTGGAGTTGCTATAATTCTAATGCCTCTGTTTAAGTAGAGCTGGAAGTGCCATCTTCAACAATCAGGCTTCCAGCTGGCAGCGCCCTGCTTTTGTAAGAGATCCCTGTGCCCCAGGTTATGCTTATAGCCATGTGTGCTCTGTTCCCTCAACAGGACAGAGCAGGAGAATTTCAGAAGATGGAACTGAAGAACATGAGAAGACAGGAACTAGGTAACCAAACAAGGAAGAGCTAAAGGATGAGCAGTAAAAATGTAATTAATGAAAGTTGTTCTTCATGGGAAGGTATTTAGACAAAGCTCTTCTAGAATTATGCTTGCATGAAATAAAGTCATTTGTGTTTGAGTCTTTACATCCTGAAGGTTTAAAGCCTTTGTTACTTAAAAGCTTCACCAAAAAGTTGTTTGTGTGAGCACAGACAGTGCTCATGGTTTACAAGGAGCACGCTGCTCTCAGAAAAGCTGTCAACTAACCTCAAACTGTTGGATTATCTTAAGCAGAAATTTCATGTAATGAAAACATGATGCTGATTTGTTTAACTTTGGAACTACAATAAACAAAATCAAACTTTCTCTCTAGTACACAATACTGATTTTTCAGAGCTTTCAAACTACAAACACAAAGGGCCTCTTCATTATTAAAAATACTGAATGTTTATTTTTTAATGTTCAGGCTTGGGGTCAAAGAGAAGAAAACAGAAGTCATGAACCATGTTCACCCACTACTTATGTGAAGCTGGCAGTTATGTATAGTTAAAAAATTAATCTTTTTTTGATACCTGTAAAAAATAAATAAAGCAGTGCACTTGTACTATAATACTACCCCCCAGGCTTTCACTCTAGACATACATATTTTCCACTGAAAGGAGACACTTAAATATGTTATTCAGGGAAAGGGAAGGAGCATTACAGCTCACCCTTGTGCAGCAGGCAGAACAAAGGCTGCTGCACATGCCCCAGTGTCAACCCAGCATATTTTGTATTCAGCCTCCTAAGTAAAATGTGGGTTGTATTCTCACCTCTTCAACTGCTACCTTCACAGTCAGGTTATTGGTACCATGACACTGGAGGCAGAATGCACTTGATAAACCTGCTGCAGACTCACTTTCACAGCTTTCTAGTGAGGGAAGAACTACAAGAATCTTGAACTTTTAGAAAAAACATGAGCAAAAGCCTTTATATTAAGAATTTATTTGCAATATACAAAAAGAATACATTCCTTTAATAAATCAAGGCATAAGTTACTTTTCTATAATTAAACATGAACTACATTTTTGTTCCACTTACAGATTACATTATCTTTTCTTCTTGCAAATGGTGTTGTTCACAGTATTCCTGAATTCCTGAAAAGATGAAGAAAGAGTAATATAAGTACTATTTCAGTTGTATATCAGGAGTTTGTTGTTGCTGCATCTGTCTCCTGAGGGTACAAGTATCTGAAGTTGGGCCTTCCTTACACTGAAAGTGGTTTTAGGATTATTTTAAACAGCACAGCACCAGCTCTTTAGGGAGTTTTTGCAAGGGGCTTTTGTGTAATTACAGTTACAAGTGAAGGCATTGGTCAGTCAGTTGCCTCCACTGGATTATGGTGAGCACCCCTCCACACATCTCAGAAGAGAGCCTCAGAAGGTTCTTCTGAGCACAAGGACACCCCATCTCTGAAAACGAAAGTCTGACTTCCCTGAAGTCAAACACTGAAACCAGTTATCAAATACAATTTCGTTACCACTTTAGCAGCCAGTCAGAGGTGATGCCCAGAAGCAAACACAGTCTTTGCACCTGCTACTTTCAGAATTGTTGGGCCCCTCTCCTGATTTTATTATTTGTGGCACAGTAACACAAGCCTGTGTAACACCTTTGTATATTGCAGCAGTGCTCAGAACAGAGGGGATTCATTTGCACAGTGATTCTCAGACTCACTTTGAATGATATTCCTGTAAGACAATGTAGCTGGAGACTCGGGTGCTTCAGCCAAGAAAGACTGGCCCCTGTCACAACTTTTTCCTTGAAGAACAGAGAAAAAACACAAAAACAAAGCAACAGGAAAAGATGAGCTTTTCTTTTTTTAGCCTTTATCCTGTTCCAGTTACACCCTTTCAGATAGCCACCTGCATCTATTCCTTTTAGGAAGCCCTGAAATCAGTAACAGGACTAGAAACACAGTGTACAGTTTGACACAGAATAGCAGAAACTTTCAGTTGGGAGTACTGAGCTGTTCCTTGATGTCATTAATTCAGGTATTAATTGGTAACAGTTAATGGGCAAAGAACCACATCTCCTCATGACCCACAAAAGAATTTGGGCAGTGCAGTAACAGTGAGGTTAAAGCACTGGTTTTAATGCTTAACATCTACAAAATACTCTTCTTTGAAATGGTTATGATTTCATTCAGTTTGCATTTCCAGGTGACTACACCAAATATGTTGTATTTCAGATATGATTACAGAGCTGAAAAGATGCAGCATGTAATCTTAATTGATTAAGGAAAACTTAAGGAAATTACCCCAGCACTTCCCACATTCCACACCAAGCTACAGTCATAGTTCCAGTGACTTTTCCGTCTAAAAGTGCTAAGAGACATCAGTGCCCATATCAGGGTTTTGCAGCAGTAACATCAGTATGGGAGGAACAACTTGCTGTAAGTGCAGTGCAATAATGACTTTACCTATCTGTGGATCCAGAGGCACTTTACCCAGGAGAGAAACACTCAAATTCTGGCACATCTTCTCTGCACCACCAGTAGTCGGGGGAAAGATCTGAGATTCATTCTGGGACAACATGAAAATCAGAGTTAAAATACTGCAATTCTGAGAAAAAGGCATTTTTGGAGCAATGTTCACTATCCAAGCAATGCCAAGGAAAGAACACTGTAATACACAGCCAGCCTTACCTTACACTTGGGACACACAAAGCCACTCATGTTCTCCACAACGCCTATGATGGGCAGCTTCACTTTGCGGCAGAAGTTGATCTCCTTCCGAACATCCTGAAGTGACACTTCCTGCAAATAACAGCAAACACTTGTATTTCAACTCGTTCATGCTGAATCCATTCAGTTACCTCCTTAGAGCTACTTTATTATGAATTATTACTGCTGTCTTAATATTTTTAGGAACATAAATCTGTGCTATGAGCTCTATCAACAGAGCAGGTACAACACTTCAAGCCTACTGGATGTGGTTCTGTTTTGAAATCTGACTCTTCAAGATTCATCCATATTTATGTTTTTTCTATGTTTCTATTTATGTTTTTTCTTCTTAAATGCAAATTTTTCATATTTTCATCTTAACAAAGGACCCTTGGTATTCTCCACAGAGTGAGGACAAGAACCACCAGGCTTACACTAGTTCCCTTTTTTCCAATTAAATTTAAAATATCTTATTCTCTCCTCAAAAGTTTTCACATATATGACTCACCTCATCCATTCTCCTGTTCCCTTCCTCCTTCACCACCTCTCTGGTATTGTCCTCAACACTTTGCTTCCTTTATGTGTTATTCTTTCTGCTGTTGTAGAAATACTTCATGTCACGTGCTAGTTTGTCTCCTGTTCTGTTCCAAACCAGACATGAAAACCTCTGTTTGAACTGGGTGTGTTTTTAGTTTCAGCTTTCCAGGGCTGATTTCTCTTTTAAAAATGCACATGACAAAGCTGCCTACTGTTGTGGGTCACCTGGAGGTGACAGGCTGCTTCACAGGTGTCAAAGAGTGCACAGCTTATCACTTAGAAATGAAGCTTCTTACGAACATTCTTCTGAACATTAAGCTATTGGTAAATTACAGATCCACAATGTTAAGTCTGATTCTGAAGGAGGAAATGAAACACTGCACCGGTCTCAACAGCTTTTCATTGTGAAGTGCTGTGGTTTAGTGACCCATGTGGATCCCCATCCAGCTCCCCTGAGAAATCCACCTAACCCACAGACCAGCCAGCTGCAGGGGCAACACAACAAAGTAATTTCCCTGAGATTCTGTGCCCTTAGATTTCTGTGAAATCAACAACCTGGAACCCAAGGACTGCCTTGAACTGCCATGATGCTTCCCTGGTGGATTTTGGCTCATACCTGGGGGGTGGTGACGATGACAGCGCCGTCGATGTGGGTGGCACTGAGGTACTGCACGATGGACAGGTGCTCATCTGATGTTCCTGGGGGCGTGTCCACGATCAGGTAATCCACTTCACCCCAGTCCACATCACGCAGAAACTGCTTGATCAGCCCTAGAAGAAAGGATAAGAATGTGGAAGAGGAAAAGGTATCTTCCTGTATTTTAAATTTCTGGATCTTAGCTAGCTACCCTATCTACATTACTAAACAAGTTCAAGATATTTCCACACTTGAAACCTTTCAAGGATATAAATTACTGTTGGAAACACTCTACATACCATTCTTTTTTGGTCCTCTCCAGATGACAGCATCATCAGGACTACTAAGCAAGAACCCCACTGACATGACACCTAAGTTTTCTTCAACATACTGAAAGAGAAGTAGAGAAACATAACAGTGAAGAAAGAGAAACCAACCCTGAACCCCTATTTTACAGAAAAAGCAGATGAGGGGCAAGACATTAATGAAATAAAGGCAGAGAACTTTATCTTTTATCACAGGGCATTAAAAACTGCATCTTGTGCAACACTCACCAACTACACTAAGACTGAAAAAATGAAATTGTTATAGCAGTTCATGGAATCGCTGGAGACAATGGAAGGATAAAAGCAGCTTTCCCTCTCAGCACCAGCTGCCTTTCTAACAGCATGCACACTACAGGGGATCTTTAGATAACCAACATACTGCAAAACCATCTCTGCATATTTTAAATAAGGTTTGTCTTAGGTGCAAGATACTTCCTGGCTGTCACAGCAAACATTACACACTACAGCTGCATGTTACTCCAAAATAACAAACCTGAGTAACTTACATTTATTGCCCATATTGCAAAGTCCATAAGCACAAGGTAACAAAACAATTCTGGAAATATGGTATTACTATTATTAAGAAATTTAACACTCTGATCTACATAGTCTATATCCCAAATCTATATGATATGCATCTCAATTTTACAGATCTATTCCATATTTTATGAAATTTGGATATACATTCTATAGTGTTCTCTAGATATTCCATAGAACATGGATATAGGTTATATAGCTCTAGAGAATCTGGACATACAGACTCTGCAGATTCTATGGCCTATATCTGTAGATTCTACAGAATCTGGGTATTTAAGTAATTAGAAGAAGAATTAACAAGAGTAGTCCCTGCTCCTCCCTCACTCATTTTTCACTGTAGAAGATGGTGCCCAACCCAAACACATCCAATGAACTTTCAGAAACAGCAGCACCAACTCACCACTGGAGACCATCCAGATCCACTCTGATGAACCTGAAAGTTGAAGAGACACACAAAAGTTGCAATAGCAAATGTTAGACAAAACATGAATGTAAGTCAAACCTGGGCAAAGAGCTCTCCTACCTGCAGGAACAATCCTGCTTTTGTGGGGCAGCTGAGGTAAAAATGCAAAAGCACCAGATCTCCATAATAAGTGAACAACAACTGTTCAACCCTTATGGAAGT